TTATAGGGTGGTTGAAATAATAATCAGCTCTGACTTTAAATGTCTGAAACATAGTTCACACACATTAAACTGAGGGTTATAGGGTGGTTGAAAAAATAATCTAACGCCTTGGTGGTTCAATAAATCTAGCAGGTTTTGCTCGACATGACGAGCGTCGTGAAATGGGCAGTTGTCCATAATAACAACGTCATTCGGAGCTAAACATGGATTCCCCATTTCGTTAACTTCGGCAACGGCTTCATGAAAAAAATGTAAAAGTTCGTATCCATTTGATGGTCCTTCTATTACATCAACGTGGTCGATATCAGACACTCCGACTAATAGGTTGGCTGTGAAAGTTGCACGGGACCCAAACGTGGCATGTCCGTATCTGCGATTTCCAGTCGTTTTTATTACAGATGCCTCATCAAACCAATGCAGACGATGCGGTTCATAATTCGACACCTCTTCTAGAAAGTCCAACTGTCTTTTGATATTCTCATCAGTGCACGATTCCGTTAGCATGCTTGATAATTTCTTTCTGGTCATGTTTAAGCATATCTGAACCGCGTAAGTGATCGATGAACGTCCGGGGAGGGTTGCCGCCGTACACACACCATCTTCGAGTAGTTTTTGTCGAATTTCCCATCTGTAAATGCTCGGTCTCAACGTTTTATAATATTCGACATAGTCTATAACGTTGTCGGTTAGTTTCTTAGTCGCGGATTGGTTGCTCTTACGCTTTCCTGGCAGGATACTCTCGGTGGCAACAAACCGTTTGACGATATTATAGGCTGTCTGCTTTGAAACACCACTTTGATCTCCAATCTCGGCAAATGACAGTCCACAAAAATATAAATCTACAACTCTTCTTTTCACTTCAACTGGTTTTTCGACTCCTTGCTTCTCCATCGTGTCCTCCATCGTGTTGTTTAAACAACTTGGGCGAATGCCGGTTTGCAGACACGCAATCAACACGATGACTGACCAAAAGTGACTGAGGACAGACGCACCTCAAAGTCTAGGGGTACCTGACTTTGTAGCAAAAATAGAAAACATTGTGGGCAATATCTGTCAATCATTCCTCTGATTTGCAGCCGATGTTTATATTTCCAGTTACAACTTATGTAAATGTGAAAACAAAATGTCTAACCTATTGTAGTAAGTTATCAACATCTAGCACTACTTCAGCGTCAAATCAGTGCCTGGAATTGCTGTAAAAACAACATCCCATAATATTCAGACAGCATATATAGCTCTATTTTAGATTTTTCTTCTCAACATATTAGTCAAAAATGATAAAACAAACAATTTAAAATAAAGTGTACATTGTATGTGATTTTCTTGTACATTGTTAAATTGTCGTTTCTACAAAAAAAAACACACCTTGTGAAAAATGTTGTGCCTCGGACGTCAACTCGTCATAAAAACATGGCTGACAATTGTGTTAGTGATATTGCAATGTTCCAAGGTAGATTGGTAGGAAAATAATGGTTTTCATGATCTGGCACCCCGCTGTAAAGACATTCGCGATGCACAATGGGCATTACCAGGCGCAGTTATTCATCAATTCATATGTGGGTATCATAACTAGTCGCGTGAGTTGCGCCCTCCGCCGTTCGGGGCAGAACCACGCCTACATGCCAG